ATGAATGGCTTCCTTTTTCTTTTCGCGCTTATCTCATGTTTCCTGCTTTCTAAAACATGCACGGCAGGTGTAGGGTTTGGGTTTTCTTGTCTTGTCTCGTATTGTCTTCTCCTGTCCTATTTCTCTTTCACGTTTCCCTTCTAGCATACTCACTTCTTGAAGAATCATATTTGCAATGGCGACCAATTGGGGTTTTTCATTTTTTTCTAGTTTTGAGTTTTTCCCATAGTTCTCCGTATCGTCTATCCGAGTCCCGTTTCTGTCTCCTTCTATACACGTTGCGTTGGTTTTGTTTTCCTGTTTCCTTTTGCTTTGCCCGCTTGTTGTCAATATCATAGCACTATCACTACTTCTGCCACTATTATTATTACTAATGTGATTCCTCCTGATATGTCATCGATGGTTCGATCAATGCGGTTTCCCATACCGTTTCCATTTCCATTTCTTCTATTTTTGTCCTCTTTATTCTTATCTCTACATTTCTCTAATTTCAATTGCCTAATCCTCCCCTTTCCCTGCTCCCATGCGTACAAACGGTGACATCGGTAGCGAGGGGATGAAAGTTGCATGTAAATGTATATATACATACGTCGGTTGTCAATGTATATAAATGGATACAACGGTTCATAATATATCTCTTGTATAATCTGAGTCGGGTTGTAGCGTAGATGTATACTGCAGAGCGGTGGAGTGGAGAGCTGGAAGAGGTGGGAATCTGAGAACGGTAGGGGGGAGAAAATCAGCATTCCATCTTATCACGGACGTGAGCGGTTTTCGATCATTGTTTTGTTCCTTCAGATTCAATTCCATATATACACACACACAGTGATGTCGTGGAAGATTGAAGATGGAAGTGGATGGCTCCTTGCCCCCATGGTTCTCCTTAGCTATGTATGCCCCGCAACAGCTCTGACCGCCGCAATACTGGAGATGCTAAAAACACTTGTAATGGCATTGGGGCCATTGACACATTATGGAGTTCACCGGACTTTGGGCAGCGTGGAGAAGTCGAGATAATGCTGCGCAGGTGACTGTGAGGATCAAGGGGCTTACGTCTGGGAAAGCGGGCGATCCTTACCTCGCTGCGACACTGCAGCCTTATGCTATTCAGAAGACATTCTATTGATGCGGGGTTTCTTGATGCAGACAGAATGCAGACAGAGGGGGGACAAAAATTAACAAGAGTCTCCTTGATCCTGGGTGGACATAGGGGAAGGCAAAATGCTGGTGGCATGCAGACAGGCCCTGCAGGAGCGGGAGGTAAGGCAGTCAGTCACCTGTCTTGCAAGGTGCCATTGAAAGTACACCAGTAATGATGAGCTGAATTCGATGAAAGTCGTATCGATGTAAAATAAATAAACAAATAATAAAATCTCCCGTGGGATTCTGTTACATGTATAAAAGCACCGCAGGAAAACCCCCCCTTTCGCGATCTGAATGGAAAAGATAAGGAAGCGTAGAGAATGTGAAGAGCAGCTAACTCCGGTTCGGGATTTGATTTTCTAGAAACTGGGACGTAACGTAACATAAATGTCGGATGGAAGAAAACAAGAAAAAAGAAGAGACGTAAGCGGAACAAATTCCGACCAAAGATTAGTACCGGCACACGGTACTACCAATTCATTTTCAGTCGTTGTTCCATTTCGTCATGGAAAGTGGCCGGTTCTCGGAGGTCGTCACCTGGAGCAGCGAATATAAATAGTTAGACACTGGCTGTATGAGAGGCGGAGATGGCAAAGGAAGACGAAAATTCGGGTGCAAGTGGAGAAGAGAAGAAAGAATCAATCAGTCGATTCCCCATTCTTCCAAGAGGAATCTCCAGGGGACAATGCCCTCTCGTGACCAATCCAACTTCGGAAAGAAAAGGCCAAAAGGACCAAAGAGACTTACCATCAAAGACATCCTCCCACGTAACCTCCGTCTCCCTCCCGCCCAATGCCAAAATATCCGCATGAATGTTACTCTCCTTCCCCCCACCCAGCACAGCAGGCTTCCACTGTCCCTCCTGAACGATCTTCAGTTCCATCCCCCTCCTCACGGGCTCTGCAATGCCGTATACCCTCTTCAGAGTCTCCATCTTCATGGCATCGTGTGTTTGGCGCCACTGCAGCAGACGGGCTTCGAGTGGGTGTGTGGAGGTTGGTGTCCGTTGTTGCTGTGGTGTTGGTGCCGGGTTGAAAGAGGCGCGGAGAGTGTCGTGGATGCCAGTGGCGGAGGGGGCGCCTTTACTTAGATGTGGGGCGGAGGCGGTGTTGGAGGTTTGAGTTGCGTTGGCGGCGGGGGGTGCGATGCGGAGAGACTGTGTTAAGAAATTAATAAGGGGAATGGCGGAGCGGAGGTGGATGGGACCGGGATGGGGATAGCCTACCATGATCGAAGAGTAGACGGACGGTGTATTGCTGTGGGATCAAGGTGAGATAGTGAAGAGCGATAGCGTATGCTGAGCCAAATGCAGATGGGGGAGGTATTGAGAGTGTGGAATGGTGCTGATGGATGGGATGATATTGTATGATGCCGGCTGATGTTCCTCCAGGCAAAAGCAACCGCGTCAAGCTTCTCCAGCCGCGCACAGAGACCAACTGCGCAGTCCCGTATCACGTGGGCCAAACTCGATCCCAACCGCAAAATTTCCTAACTGAGCCATTTTCCACCAAAGTCTTGAGTAAATCTTCTATATCCGCATACAGCTCGCTCACCTCCAATCCCTACCAATGTCGCCCGCAACACCCTCTGCGGGCACTCTACGCCTCCTGCGGCATTTCATAGCCCGTACACCCTCCTCCCTATCACCCCTATCCACGTCCGCCAAGCGCACCTTTTCCCTCCTCTGCCGACCACCAACTACCGCCACACCCACAAGCACATTCCGCAAACCCGCCTACCATCTGAAAATACCCAATCCAATCTCTTTGTCACCACAAGCCCGCCAATTCTCAACTACCCCCTGCCAGAATGCTACGTTGAACCAAGTCCGCCGGGGCTGTCGGAAGGGCAAGCGGAAGCGGAAGCCCACCTCTCCCGCACTCGTGGGCCGGCCACAGATGAGAGGCGTATGCCTTAAGACGGGTATCACGAAGCCGAAGAAACCTAATTCCGGAGAGCGAAAGACGGCGAGAATACGGTTGACAAATGGCGCGGTTGTGACGGGGTATATTCCCGGTGAAGGTTGGTTTTTCTCGTATTTTCATCTTAAATTTTGGGGGTGGTTGAGGGAGTGACGTTGATATTCCATTGGCTTTTCTATACATTTTATTAAATTTTTTTGGATATGCACGAGAATGCTAAATTTCGTTTCGCTCAATTGCTAGGCCATAATATCCAACAGCACAGCGTTGTGTTGATTCGAGGCGGTCGGGCGCAGGATTGTCCAGGTGTACGATACCATCTTGTCCGAGGCGCATTGGATCTGGTGAGTTTATCTTCCCCTATCCAAGAACTCCTGCATTTGTGTGAACTGGCAATCTTAACTGGAGTATTTTTTTATTTTTTAATGGGATAGTCCGGCGTCGGCAATCGAATCACCAGTCGATCAAAGTACGGGACGAAGAAGCCGAAGAGTTCGTAGTGATGTTCAAATGGATAGATAGATTTAGGAGTGCTAGAGGGGTGGGTTAAGGTATACAGGATGGATGGACTTCTAATTTCCAATGCATCCTTCTTGTGGTTTCTTTTTGAGATACGATATTATCTTCCTCTGTATCCTTCCATAGATCGGGTTCATTAATCTGTAAAGTGTACGTCATCCCTACTCTGTCTTGGGCTCATGTAAATGTTTCGGTTTCACTCTCGGCATATATTGAATGGACTGTGCAGTGCTGCCTGCCTGGCTCAATTTCCCGCTCAATTCCCCGAGTAAAATCGTCAAAAAAAGATGATCGTATTCGAAAAATCCCAATAACTCCTCCCGTCCCATCATATACTCTCTGGAAAGGCGACTGTTTGCCTAATGCTGTACAAATTGTCGGGACAAAAAAAATTAAAAACTAAAAATAAATAAATAAAAATAAAAATAAAATGGCTCGAGTTTTTCATAAAATCAGTGAGATTTCGATGGTAAAAAGAATGGGAAAAGAAAATATGAAAAAGAGAGATCATTTGCCAGATGCCGTACATCCAGGTTAGCTAATGAAAGTGGCAACGTCAATTAATGAAAATAATAAGAATAATAACGCAAGGTAGAAAAAGTAGAATATAAAATAGAGGGATAAGAGACGGATAGAAGTATGCGAATTTCAGGGTTCTGGAAGAGGTAGATGTGGGTGAAATGGTTTAATGATATATGCAGACAAACAAAAGGGGAATAAAACAGAAGAAAATAGAAGAAAATTCCGCAAGAAAAAATAAAAAAAATAACAAACATAAGGCTATCCCCTTGATGCACACATTGACCGCATTTTATTTATATCCCATATAGTCTTCTTCTTTTTCAGTGCTGCTTTTTTGTTGACCACTTTCGTCACGATATGTAGAGCACACTGTCCACGCTGGACGTTCTGAGACAGCATGATCGACGACCTTTAAACGCTACTATTGCTACAATAGTGAGAACGAGTACGCTGGCGAGAAACCAGAGAACAACGGATAGTCAATCCTGCTCCTCCTCGTAGCCTTCGGGCTTCTTTAGCTTGTTGACATCGAAGTATCGAGATGTGCCTGGGGGATCGGGAAGGTTAGCAGCGGCCGCAGAATAAAGTTACAACCCCGGGGGTAATATCCATGCTTAGATATATCAAACTTACAAGAATGTCCCTTCCAGTCAAAGTTGTCTTTGGGATTGCAGTGGCATTTCAGATCTAGTCTTTTCTGCTCTCCCGTTGGGCAGTGGACGAATGGAACGTGGCGGTAGGCGATTTCATTGAAGAAGTGTACTTCCTCCTTTTTCAGCATGAGAGCCGCAGCGATGGAGTGGACTGGGGCGTCGCCCCATCTTTCGTAGAAGAATCCTCCGTCCTTATCGAGAACATCGAAGTAATCGAGGTATTCTTGAGATCGTAGCCAGTTTATATCGCCGACTTCGAAATTCGACCACTGGGGATAAGTTGAAATATGACGATATTAGTATAAAGGGTGCAAGACACCGATTGTTCAAAAGTTCAAATATTTCTTTGGGAGGAGAAGAAAAGGGGTACGAACGAAATGGCACAGATTATATGTGTCTCCTCCGTCCGAGCTGATGAAGTCCATATTGTTGTCCTCGGCAATGTGTTGAGGGTATTTTTCCATGAACTTCTTAACACTGTCCCAGAGCGTAGGTACGGTTTCCTTGTATTCGTAGAGACTAAGAACGAAGCTGTATTTCTTCTTGTTGTCTTTCATAAACTTGAAGGGGTCGAAGTTGATGTCGCAGAAATACTCAACACTGGGCTCCACACGCCAGTAGTAGTCAAATTGATTGAGGAGCTCATGGCGAAAAAAGAAACCAGATTCATATCGACACATATGCCTGTAACTAATGGAGTCTCCATATATGACTTGTTTCTCTTTCATATCTTCTCGCACCTTAGCGGCCCTTTCTTGGTCGATGAAGTCCGGGAACGACCAGTGCTCGGACGGAATGTGTCCGTAATGGGTTTTCCCGGATACGAGCGCGGAAGTAACCTTCTTGAATTCATCGTTAAAAGGTTTATCGTTGATAAAGACCCAATCATAGTGATAATTTCTGTTGAAGCGGTCCTCCACCTGACGGATCGATTTGGAGATATCCCAGACATCCTCATTTCTGGCTAGGGTCACAAAGGTAGCGTTTACTCGTTCGTAGGCGGGACGTTGCGCAGGAGCAGCGAGAGCTAGAGCCGAGGCCAATAAAACTGTTAGGATTTCAGTAGACTTCTCTGAAAATAGTGATTGAGACAGAGAACTAAAGTCAGGTTTAATCGCTCCTGGCTTGAGGTTCGATACGACATTGTTGGCGTTTGGAAGAGGTAACGAGGAGGAGGATATAAAATGTAGAATTGTAAGGCCCTTTACACCGTTTGAAACAACGTTGGAACTGCTGTCAGTGTCGTTGCTTATCACAGTAAGGATAAGGTTGATATCAGACTCACCAAAACCACAAATAGAATGTACCGTAGGTACTTCCCAGAAACCGAATTCATAGTGATATAGAAGCCCGGGAATCGAAATCCGGTTCACTCAGGCAAGGGTGTTTGTTTCGTTTATTGTTCGACTCTCTCTCTCTCTCTCTCCCTCTCTCTCCCTGGTGTTAAAAGGAAGAATAAACCGATCAACCCTCAAAATGAAATATTTCCAGGGAAGATCCGAAACACTCGGGTTGCACGATCTCAGGACAAAGAGCAGAGTTCAAAGGAGCGACGAGGGTTTGAAGAAGTCGAGAGATACAACTTCTAGCCGACCCTTGAGGTGTGTCGACAGGTGGTGGGGTCAAATGAGTTAAGTTAATATTTATGAATGAAAGAAGAAGTTGGCGATCGCATCTCATCAAGCTAAGCCGGAAAGGGCAGAATAGTGAAGGATTCTTGCAAGATTCAAGAGCAGAGAATGTCGCTCAGTTTAGCAGAGTGAACTTGATTTGCTATGCCTCAAAAGGAGAGCCGGGACGTCGGTCTGTCTGGGGTGCACAGGGCGTCGGTTCCTTGGTTGCTCGGAGGTTGAACAAAGGTTCTGCGGATGAGGCCCAGACAACACAAGATCTGACTAAATACTGGAGCGAGTGAATGACCGCGTAATTCGATGCTTGTTGGCTCCGTATCTGGGGCTATTTTAAGGTATCCCGCTGCTGCGGCAACTCAAAGGGAGGACAAGCCCGGCGGCTGGAATGGGGGTGCCTAGGTACAGTGTTACTTTGAGAGGGCGGACATAAACAACAGCAGCACCACTGCTTGAGATATGAAGACTTGGTCAGATGTGAATCACCCTCGTGCGAAAATCGGACCTCGGCCGATTAACAGGATATACCAAACCATGTCAAAACTCCCACTCCTCCTCCTTTTTTTATTCTTCTATTTTTTTTTTTTTTTTTTTTTTTTGGCGATTTTCGGAGCTAGTCGCTCTAAAACACGCCACCAAATTGAGTTATGTATGTAAATTGGCAGGAGAAAGACATAAATGAACGGGGGGCTGAGAAAAGGGGCAACTTGTAATTTATAAATAAGCCGCCAAAATCTCCAGAGATATGAAGCAAAACTCCTGGAAGAACGAGATTGGATTGATTACTAAGCCAATAAGATTCTATCTACAATCTGCACGTTGTGATATGGAGAGTTAGGGCTGCCTCCAAAACGCATCAAAAATTGACTGCTACTTGGAATACCACTCCTATTTAATATGGGATATCCCGTCAAGACGTCAGAAACTGAATCTCTCAAATAGAGATGTGAGTTCATATTTGCCCGGATCAAAACCTTCCACTCACAGTCAATTCACTCACGCTCAACCCACTCAAAACAAACAAACGCCTTTGATAAATCAAAAACATCAAATAAGCACTCACAAGAGGGCAGAGTTTGCTAAAAATGAATACCCTCCCTTCACAGATGATTGGGATAGCTGACATAGAGATTGCCAAGACTATGGAGTATATGCAGAGCTACAGGTGTTATATCAATCTTAGCACTGAAGAGATTGAATCTACACAGAAATCTGATTCCTTTATATTAAAACAAAATCTCAATTTTCAGAAAAATCTGACATATCATGAATTTTATAAAATAAGTTATAATAAGTATAAAGAAATGATAAGATTATTAGATTTATATATAAATATATTTTTATTAATTTTTATTCTTATTTAAAAAATTTAATATTATAAAAAATTATATTATTTTATTAATCATAATAAAAAATAAAGTTTATAACTTAATTTTTAAAGTTTTTTACTTTTTTAAAAATTAAAATAAAATTTATTTATAATTAAATTTAAAGTATAAAAATTATTAATATTTTTTATTAATATAATATAAATATTATTAATATAAAAAGTTAAATAATTAAATTATATAAGAAAAATATATTTATATTCTATAAAATAATAATTTTTTTAAATATTATTATAAAATTTATAATATATAATTTAAAATTATATAATAATTAAAAAATTATTAAATTATATATTTATATTATATTTATTATTATATAAAATAATAAATTTTCAAAAAATATTAAAATTAAAAATTATATTTTAAATATAAAGATATAAAAAAATAAAAAAAATTTTTCAAAAATTTTTAATATAAAAAAATATAAAATATTATTAAATATTAAAATATTAAAAATATTTATTAACTAAAATTATCAATATTAAATTAATTATTATTTATAATAATATATAATAAGCTCTGTTCAGACATTTTAATAATATAAGATTACTGAGCTGAAATAATCAATAATTATAATTATTTAATAATAATATAGTATTCAATCTCATAATTATTTCATAAATAAATACTATGTAAATATAGAAATCATTTAATAACTACATTAAAAAAAGAAATAAGATGTATTTATAAAATCTAGAAAAAAGTATAAAGTTTTTAATATTATATTATTTACAATTCAAAAGATATTTATAATAACTTATAAAATAATTTCTCAGAAAATAAATATTAATAATATTTAAATATTTTTAGATAGTCAAATAATATTAAAAAAAACTTCAGAAATATAAAATTTAAAGTGATTAGATAAATTTTAAATTAATTTAAAGAATAGTAAAAAGAATTAAGATTAAGAATAAAAATATTTGAAATTATTTATCTTAAATATCTGCTCATATAAATATTCTAAAAAATGAAAAAAGCAGATTTAGCAGCAAAGATTGAAACTAAAACTTAAAAAAAAACTCAAAGAATTATATTCTAATCATATATTAAAAGAATAGTCAAAGAATCATATTTTGATAAATGAACAAAGATGTAAAAAAAAGAGAAAAAAAGTACTTAGTATGAAATATATGAAATAAAATCAAAGTGAAAATCAATATCAATAAAATGCAAAAAGAAAATATTTTCCTCTATAATATAATTGAAACTTGAACATGATTATTTTATATTATATATAAAAAATTTTAAAAAATTTTTGAACTTTAATAGATATAATTTCTGTGATATAGTTGAAAATTCAAATCATATTCTGATGAATTATTTATTAATCAATAAAATAAGAAAGAAATTAAAAGAAAAACACTCAATTAATTAATTAAATATAATATTTCTATTTAATATTGAATTAAAAAAAAAAATTTTAATTAAGTGTATAGAGAAAATAAAAATTGTCTTTAAAGAATAAAATTAAATATTAAATAAATTTAATATTTAATCTATAAAAAAGCTGAGAATATTTTTAATAATATTTTTATTAAAATTTTTTTTATATTACTTTGTTGTTTTATTTTATTTTATTTTATTTTATTTTATATTTTATTTTATTTAAATTGAAAAAGAAAATAAATTAAAATTAAAACTATAAAATATCTTTTATTAAAAAATTATTAAATATTATATTACTCTAAGATAAAACTTTATAAATATATAAGTTGATTGCTATTTATTAATTAAATTAGTAAAATAGTTAAATTCTAGATTAACTAAATAAATGTCATAGTTATTGACTGAATATATCTTAAATAAATAATAATAATAATAATAATAATAAAAGAAGCAACTATATTAAGAAAAAAGTTATATAAATAAAGTCTTCTTCTGTAGAAGATTAAGCTTTAAGAACTAAAGGCTAGTCCTTCTATATAACAAGGACAAATTACTTGAGAAAGGGAAGAAAAGAATGAGATAAGAATATAAGCTTAAGCAAGCTTGTGTAGTATGATCATGTGCATATATGCAAACAATGACTAGGCTGAGTCAGTCAGCCAGAGTGAATCTACAGGTTCAGTCTCTTATAATACTTCTCTTCTCCCTCTTTGTTGCAGATCTTTATGACTATTTAAAGCTCTCTTTATATCTAATTTTGCCTGCTGAGAGGTCTCTCAAGTGTTTAAAGCCTTCACTTCTTGTAGAAGACTCATGTCATTTCATGTAGATTCAGCTCAATCTACTCATTTAACAAGATATTATTTTTTTCTTTGATAGGTTTATTCACCTCAAATTTCCTCAATCTCAAACTCAGATTCTTTCAGAATCTCTATAGTGAGTGGCTGTCAGTTGGTTTGTCTTTGACTAGACAAGGAATCTGTCATCACAGCATGTAGAAGCTTTACATTAAAGATATTGTGAATGTCAGATGAGACATTCAGTCAGTAAGCATGAGATTTTATCTTTTCTAGCACAGTATATTGATTGTATTTTATGTCCAGCTTCTTGCACAGATGATTAGTTCTCATATTCTCTAAGCTCAATCAGATCTTATCTCTGAGTTGAAAGCTTGAAGCTAAGTCTCTTCATCTATTTGTGTAGTTCTTTTGAGATTGCTGAGTATCTGTCATTTTTAGTTGAGCTCACTTCAACACTTCATGAGTCTTTCTCATATAATTATCTGCAAACTCAATGAGATTATGTGATGTTTCAACAGAGAGTACATCAGCTATATTAATGAAGAAGACATGAAAAAGATGTGTTAAAAAGAATGAGCTCACATCTGTTGAGATAGCATCTCTATTATTGATGATCAGCTCTGTCAGAAAGAGCTATTCACACCAGTCATTCTGTTGAAAGCTAATGTACTTGTGTAGATAGATTTTCAGAGTTTGATTCATTCACTCTGTAGCTCTGTCAGTCTCTGAGTAATAGACTATGAAGAGTCATCTCTTAATATCTAATTTCTCACATATTCATATTCAAAACATGCTTGTGAAAGCTGATCCTTGATCTGACACTACTGTCTTAGAAATATCATGTTGAGAAATGATGTTGTGAAGGAACACTCTAGTCACTATCTTCACATCAGTTATCTTAACTACTTTTAATATAATCTTCTTAGTCAGTCTGTCTGTTATAATCATGATGTTTGTGTATTCTTTAGAGCTTGATAAGTTCACAATAAAGTTCATAGAAAGCTTCTGTCACATGTATTCAGAAATGAGAAGAGGCTTAAGCAGTTTCTGATGTCAATCTCTTCATGTGATGTTTGATCTACAAAGATAACAGTTTCTGATCATTCTTCTCACATCAGCAGCATAGTCTGACCAGTAGAACTCACATCTTAGAACTTCTGCTGATTGCTCTCACTTAGGATGATCAGTAAGAGGTGAGTTGTGAGTCTCATGTACTAATCTGATTTAAAGAGATTCAAAGTCTGATACTCACTTACAATATTAAAAGAGAAGCTTCTTAGTCTCATTTAAAGAGCACTCAGAGACAGAGATTTTAATGCTGAGTTCAGAAGAAAATTTAAATCTTCTCTCATAAAGAGTCTGCTTCAGATACTGCAGAATCTTATCATTTTTATGAGTCTCATTTCACTGAGCTTGAAGAGACATCTCAGATTTCACACTGGCAGCAGTCACTCTTGATTTCATTTCAGATATCAGTACATTAAACTTAAGTAGTTGAGCTTGTCTCTGCTTGATTCTCTTATCATCAGCACTCTGTGACATGTCTTACTCTTTTTATGATAGAGTGTCTAGTTCAGTGTTCAACTTCTCTGATCAGTAATCAATTCTGAAGTTGAATTGATAGAGAATATTCATTCAACATAGCTGTCTTTCATTTAGTCTGTGTGTAGTCATAAAGTATTTTATATTCTTATGATTTGTGAGAATCTT